ATTTCTCATAAAGTCATTAGTTTCCATTTGCTCCATTCTAATTTTTAAGGAATTATTTTCTTCAGTGAGCTTTTGGACTTCCTTTTCCATTTGGCCAACTCTGCTTTTGAAGGCATTCTTCTCATTGGCTTTTTGGACCTCTTTTGCCATTTGGGTTAGTCTATTTTTTAAGGTGTTACTTTCTTTAGTATTTTTTTGGGTCTCCTTTAGCAAGCTGTTGACTAGTTTTTCATGATTTTCTTGCATCACTCTCATTTCTCTTCCCAGTTTTTCCTCTACTTCTCTTACTTGCTTCTCAAAGTCCTTTTTGAGCTCCTCCATGGCTTGGGACTGATTCATATTTTTCTTGGAGGCTTTGGATGTAGGAGCTTTGACTTCGTTGTCTTCTGCTGGTTATATGTTTTAATCTTCTTTGTCACCAAAGAAAGATTCTATGATCTGATTTTTTTGTGCAGTTTGCTCATGATCCCAACCAAATTACTTGAATTACAAACTCTTTGTTAATGTAGGGGTCCAGTGTGGAGAATGTATTGTCCCAAACTTCAGGTGTTTTGTACAGCTGTTTTCAGAGATACTTCTAGGAACCTGTAAGTCTCCAGTTCTTCCAAGGTGGTATGATCAAGGGCGAGGTGTTGACTCCTTTCCTGGCCTGTGTTCTGGTCTGTGAGTGACCACAAGCACTCATTTCTGCCTTGGAACTATGAAGGGGATTACTTCTCTACTGCCACCACGAGCTGCACCATGCCAGCACTCCTCCTTGCCCCAGGATCGCCACCCAGAACCCGTGACCCATGGGCAAAGCAAGAGAATCCTGCCTCAGCACCAGCACGAGATCCCTGCAATCCCCCTCTGATCAGCCACTTAATTCCCTCTCAGCCTGTGGGCCGGAAGCTCTGGAGGCAGCCACCATCCTGGGCCTGTGCCAGGACTGGGGCTGGGACCAAGCTTCTCTTTCACCATGGTCACAGACCTCTGTGTTTAACCACACTAAATATCTGAGAAACCTTTAAAAGCTCTTAGGACAAAAAGTGAGAAACAACCAAAAAGACAAAATATCACATTGCTATTTTGATGTCTTAGGTGAACTTAGAAGAAGTAAAACTAATATTGATAGCTGAGAGAAGAAAGTTGGTGTGATAGATAAGAGTAAGTAATTCCTTTTAAAGAAAGGATACTGCCAAGTGAGTGAAGGAAAAGAAACAGAGCTGAAAGCAGTCATCCCTGTGAGAATAGGGTATAAAGTGTACCAGTGGGTGCACTTGAAGAACAGTGGACTAGGAACTTGAAAGAACAAAAGTATTCTGAAAGGTACGAGGTGAGACGCATATATTCCAGGCTTGGGATAGCCTGTGCAAAAACCCAGAAATGGGAAATGGAATGCCAAGTTGAAGAAACTTTACAGTTTATACCTTATTCTCATAGGGATGACTACTTTCAGCTCTGTTTCTTTTCCTTCACTCACTTGGCAATATCCTTTCTTTAAAAGGAATTACTCTTATCTATCACACCAACTTTCTTCTCTCAGCTATCAATATTAGTTTTACTTCTTCTAAGTTCACCTAAGACATCAAAATAACAATGTAATATTTTGTCTTTCTGGTTGTTTCTCACTACATTGTCTCAGTGGAAGAAGCCTATCTGCCACTGAGGATCCATACCTTCTACATCAAGTTGTTTTTGGTGTTAGTGGGTTGAGAAGTCTAGAAACCGCCACAGCTGCCTGTGATTCAGTCCTCTGAGGCCTGCTCCAGGTTCTTCGAGGCCTGGTCCTTGACTGCATGCCCACACTGAACTGCATCTCTCTCCCAGTCCGGCGCGATAGATCTTTCTAATCAACTATCCAGATTGTTTTGGGTTGGAAATTTGTTTCACTCTGTCTTTTTGTGGGTTCTGCTGCTCTAGAATTTATTTAGAATCATTTTTTGCAGGCATTTGGAAGGGTTTGGGAGAGAGCTCAAGCAAGTCACCGCTTTTACTCTGCCATCTTGACTCCGCCCTCGCAGGAGGCATATTTTAGAAGAGACATCAACAAACTGAAAGATGACCAAGATGATAAGAAGGCTTGAAACAATGAGCTTCAATTCAGGGAAGCTGGGATGTTTAACTTGGGGAAAAGAAGACTTGAAGGAACATGTTATTTTCTGCTCTTCATCCCCTTCTCTTCACTCAGTCACTACCCCAAGTAATTAAGAACTCATATAATCTCTTTCCTTGACTGTTAAGATACCTATTAATTGGCCTCCCTACTTCCAGTCTTCTCTGCTCTCCAAACTTATTTCAAGTTAACTCCCTCCTTTTTGCACTGTTTCAGCTAAATTGTGCTTTCTAGTGGTTTCTTCAACTTGGCATTCCATTTCCCATTTCTGGGTTTTTGCACAGGCTATCCTAAGCCTGGAATATATGCGTCTCACCTTGTACCTTTCAGAATACTTTTGTTCTTTCAAGGTTTAGCAAAGATGCACCAGCACGGTGAAGCCTTCACTTATCCCTTGTGAAGTGTCTTCCCCCCACCTCAAAACACCTTGTATTTATTTAACCATGTACATACCCTATATCCACCTCTTCAACTCAGTGAGCCATAAGGCCCTGGGACAAGTAATGTTTTATTTCTATTTTTGGAACCTCAAGATCTAGCACATCACCCATATAGCAAATGTGTTATAAATGCTTATTGAGTTGAATTGTCATTTTGAAGAGATTAGACTTAACCTACTTGACTCCAGACAACCAAGAGCTAAGATGTTTTTATCTTATAGTGAGGTAAATTTTGCAATAATGTAAGAAAGACCATCTACATTGGCTGTCCAAATAAAGAATAAGGGTGTCTCAAGACAAAGTCAATTCCCATTAAGAGAAGTGTTTAATCAAGGGCAAGGTGATCATTTGAGGCGATACTACAAAAACGGAATCCATGATTCAGGTTGGGATTGTCTAGAAGACTTTCAACTCTGATCTTTTAGGATGTTATCCTATTTAATTCAGGCTGTAATGTCTCAGATAGTATGGCTTTAAAACCTTTCAACTTCATAAAATGACTATCACATGTTTAAGTCTCCAGGTAAGAGAAATCTACTACTCAAGTTATTTTACTGTTTTAAAATGTCTATCAAGAAATTCTTTTAGTTCATATCAACTGCAATATGTAGGAGGCTTTCTCTTTATTTGTTTTGAGTGAAGAATGGAAAATAACTGGCTATCTTTATACTGTTATTTGTACACCAAAGTAATTGGAAATGATAGTCTATGATTATGAATGATTATAAAGTCTGACAGCTACCATTCTTCCTGTAAGAGTACTTACTTATTTAGAACCAAAGAATTTTAGAAATGGAAGGGGCCTTTGAAATCACTTAATTTGACCTCTTCTCTTACGATCCGAGAGCACTGACAGATGAAGTGAATTTCCTATAGTCACACAGATCATTAGTGAAAGTGCCTGGACTAGAATCCAGGTCTCCTCACTCCCAGTCTACTGTTCTTCAAGTGTACCTACTGGTACAGTTTATACCCTATTCTCATAGGGATGACTGCTTTCAGCTCTGTTTCTTTTCCTTCACTCACTTGGCAATATCCTTTCTTTAAAAGGAATTACTTACTCTTATCTATCACACCAACTTTCCTCTCTCAGCTATCAATATTAGCTTTACTTCTTCTAAATTCACCTAAGACATCAAAATAGCATTGTAATATTTTGTGTTTTTGGTTGTTTCTCACTACATTATCTCAGTGGAAGAAGCCTATCTGCCACTGAGGATCTGTACCCCCTATATCAAATCAATATATTTCCCAGAAACTTTTAAATTCTTTCAAAACTTTTGATTTTTTTTCCCCCTCAACCATAAGAGGGGGATTTTTTAGAAAAAAATCCATCTTCTAATACCTTTGTGATCTCCTTCCAAACTTGTAATTTAATGAACTTATCACAATTCTCAATCTAGTCCCAAATAAACCAAGGCATTTCATCCATTTATTTTTCTTACCTTCAATGAAACTTTTTGTCCTAAGTCAGAGCTTTTAAAGGTTTCTCAGATATTTAGTGTGGTTAAACACAGAGGTCAGAAAGTAATTGAGCATCACCATAATTTTAAACTCTAATCATTAGTATTTTTAAATTCAGAATTTCTCTAAACCTTTTCCCTTGGATCTGCTGAACTTCTAAAATAAAATAAATTATCTTTCTATATTCATTTGAAACACATCCAACCAAAAGATAATTACATGGCTATTCACTAATCTTTCCCCTATGCAGGAATGGAAAGCTTAACTACTACTTCAAACATGTCAAAAGTTAGTATATCTATTTTGCATATAAATAAAATACACCCAAACACCAAAAAAATAAGATTTTTGAAAAGGATATACCAACAATATTGAGTTTTTCAATCTACGCTGATCACAATTTAAACAAATACTGCTAATTTCACAAGTGTCATCTTTTCATATTAAGCCAGAGAATCCCATCCTCTTCTGTTCCTCCAAAGGATAAAATAAAACAGACCAAATAATAAATCTGAAATGATAAAACCTTTATATATCTTTTCCCCCAACATAAGCTTACTTTTTGGTCCATCTCAAAACAAACTACATTTCCATACTTCACAGAGAAAGTTATTTTGAGTTGGGAAACAAAGTGACTCAAGATAACTTGCATCTAGTCTTGTTGAATTCACTAGATGTTTTCCAAATGGACAATGAGCCCTTAAATGGGATAATCTATTTCTCTATTCTCAAGGACAAGGAAATTAGTAAGCTATTAATATCGGTACCACCACAATGTGTTTCAAATGGAAAGGTAAGTTTATGAACCCACATGAATAATAACAGTATTTAATTCTGACCTTTTAAAAGGATGTGAAAACAGGGATATATAAATGTATCAGGCAACATCTGACAAAAGACATTTTATGTGTTTTACATTTCACTTTTATTTATTCTTTGAAACTGCCCGTATTGCAGGGTTTGGTTTTTTTTTTGGTGGGGGGGGGGGGGGGGGAGGGGAGAGAAATGGAACTGAGCAGATTCATTTTTTTCTACAAAATTATGGTAAAAACTTGCTCAATTTTCTACCTTATTGCTAATAAACCTTACAGGTGTACGGTTTGTAGATTATAACCCCTTAAGGACTGAATGCAGATAGCATGCTGCAAGGTACAAGAAATAAGCTAAAAATGAGCACGTAACTTACATCTGGACCACGACAGTACTAAATGCTGGCAAATGTTTATTACAACATTGAAATGAATGAAGAGAGAAATAGTTCAGTCCTGAAAGGGTTAAATAGAAACCCTAATATATTACTGTTTTCTAACAAAGCTGCCACTCAATCCCACATTACAGTGCTTGAAAACAAAGTAAAGAATCTGGCACAGAAAATTACACACATTTGTTCAGTACTCATCAGAAACAGCTGCTTTTGAAAGAAAAAGTAAATACTTCAGTTAATAATTAGATATTTTGTTTCATGAAAGACCACCTCTCCCCTCCCTGACCCCAGTTCCTCCTGCCATAATTTGGTTTTAAATGGTTAGCTGGTTTCCTTTGTCAGGACATACATTGGAAATTTTCTATGTGAGAAGAGATGATACCAGGTTCATTTTAAAAAAAACTAACAAGTTGGTTCTCAAATGAGTCTGTGCAGTGAAAGTGAAATAAATAATCACTCATTTAGCTGGAGAGACTTCAGATGCCAAAGATTTAGAAGTTAGCAGCAGCACATTAACATATTATTATACTAGTGTTCAATTTTGAAACTGTTTAGAATAGATCTTTATGAGGATTGTTCTCATTTTCTTAGTTTATGTACTAAGTTCAATGTTAATTACTGAACTATTAAAAACCTTTTTTGGAACATGGACTCAAATTTCTATGTATATTTTGAGAAACTGCACAAAAGTACACAAGGCATACTGCTGAAAAACACATACCTGAACATACCATTTATGTTTGTTAAAGGAATTTAACATTCTAGTGACAGCCTTTATCATGAAAAGGACCACCTTTTCAGAACAACATTAGGAAGAAGCAAAAATTAGCATTTGAGTTTCATTAATAACTGAAAATATGTTTAAAAGGGGTACTGATATGGAATACATGTTTCATAAGAATAGAAAACTGAAGAATAGGTTTTTTTTTTTAAGTAAAAGTAATATTAAAGAAAAAAAAGTCCTGACAAAGACAAGCTATGACAAAAATCCCCATACCCTCCCTATCTTTCTTTCCCCTCATTCCCCCCAGCACATAGTACAAAGGCTGGGAAAGACAGGTAGGGAAAAACACATTTTTGTTATAAGAAGTTTCTGGGAACTTTTAAAAACCCAGGAATATTGTATATAATATGCAAATGAACAAAGCTGCTGGGGGGAAAAAAGGTATTTAAAACAAAAAAATGGTAAACACAAGGCAAAAGATGAAAAGTTTTGTATTGTCTAATAGGGAAAAATTTCCAAAAAATTTTCCAAAGTATTATTTTAAAGGAGAAAAGCTGTGATTTCATACACTGGTAAGACACGGTTTGCTCTTACCATTTATCTGTTGTTACTGGCATCAGAGTAAATCCAATATAATTTCATAATTGAATATCAAAACTATTAAGTGAAGGAAACTTGTGGACAATTATTAAGTAAAATAGTACTGAAAATCTTAGCACGCTTCAAACAAAAACATTGTGTACATTGTGTAAAGACTGTAGCCATAAGAGAAAAAAAATTAAGTAGGGCAAAGACAAGTAAACAGTTTGCAAGTGAATGCCAGTAAACAGTTTAAAACAAAGAAAGATAAGGCCACATGAGATCCGCCCTTGGTCACTGGAACAGATAGACGGTGAGTGAGGCAGTATTCGCTAGTACGAGGGGCTCGCATTTATAATAAGATTGTAGGACAAAAGAATACATGTCATATAAAAAAGCCTATGAATAATTAGGCAGGCTTATAGTAGAAGAAAAACACAGTGGTACTGATTTAACAACCAAATTAATTTTTTTTCTTTGAAAATGGAAGACAAAATCATTAACATAGATAAAAACAACATTTACAGAGGCACAGCCCAAGCAAAACAGGGAATAAGGAAGACAAAGACTGAGAAAGAGAAAATGTCCTAAAATGGGCTTCCTCCTCCCCCTTTTAAAAAATGGTGAATGGAAACCTACTGAAAGAGTCTAGGGACCCTGATGGTGATGGTTTCTATGGTCAACACTGCAAGGAATTATGAGTTTGCATTCTGAAGGTACTGTGGCTCTTTTTTTATGGGACAGTTTAAAAGCTCACCACAATGCAGAGGTAGTTTTTACTCTAAGAAAGGATGACTGCATTGCTAAACAATATTCTGTAATACTGCACATGCAGGTCTAGTACTCATATACTCAATGGTTCTGCTGTCAGTCACCTCTAAGAAACTGAACAAATGTGCAGTCACAGTACAGGAATGGAGACAATGTAAAAATGGTAAGCTTAGAGTGCAAAGCCTACAAAAACCCACTGAACGCAACCAAATCTTAATTAAAGGGAAAGGAAACAAAACCGTCCGGGGATGGATAATATCTGGAGGGAGAAGAGAGGATAATGTTGGAGATGACTGGTATTTGAGAGCGGTAAAGCAGAAGGGGGTGAGAAAACAGAAGAAGAAGGGATAGGTTACAATTGTATCTTACAACTATCCATTTCTAAGTAATGTATTCCAGCTATTTCAGTTGATCATCTAACAAAAGCATCTTATCATTTTAGGATTACACCAATGTTTGGCCTATGCTACTTAGAAAAAAAAAGATGTAAAGGGAATAAAAACATGCTTTTGTAGAGATTTTTCTCACTATACAATAAGGGTCACCACCTACCAGTCCTACTGGTAGCAAATACTTTGCATGATACTTTTGTCACCAGTCAAGAAGGCAAAAAACACGCTGCCAAAAGAAGCCATTGGGAACATTCCACATTCAAAATAAAATGTTTAACTTACACATAATACAAGTTATGTACAAGATTAGAAGTGAATAAAAACTTGAAAAGATCCTGGAACAGATGGTTGCATTTGTGATTCGAAAGAAAAAATACAAAAACCCTTCAAAAACCAACATTTTCTGTAACATGAACAGTCATTAACATGACTAGATGGTCACATATAAGTTCATGTAAATGTTAGAACTTCTTGAGTTATCACTATAAATACATTTTTTTTTTAAAAAAAGGAAAACACAAATAACTATTGACAATGACGGGAAAAATAAAGCACTAAGTTAACATACATTGCATGTATTGCAGGCAAGGCAGAGGCATTTTTTTTTTTAAAGCTTTTGCACAGACTTCATATAATCTTAAAAAAAATATGCTGGCCTTTACAAGGTTCTACTTGCTGAAATCAAAACAATTTCAGTTCATAAAAAGTCACAAGACTTCAGTTTAAAAAAGGAACAGTTCCAGCCACAGACCAAAAATATATATATTTTTTTTAAACTGGAAGAATATGGTAATTAGATTATAAAAGTATGGTCAGGTATGAAACCTGATTATACTTCAGAGCAATAGCTCGGAGAAAAAAAAAATAAACTATTTGGTAACAAAAGTGTACTATATGTTGTGATACAAAAAAGGTATGGTGAAAATGTACCTTTTACTAAAGCTTATACAAGTTCCTTGGTCCATAAAAACTATGTGATGTTCATTGTTTTCTAAACTTTGTCCCAGCCACATTTCTATTTCTTGCCCATTAAAAAAAACAAAAACAAAAACAAAAACAAAACAAAAAACCAAAAACCCAGCTGAAAAATAGATTCCCAATAAAGTTTTATATTTTGACTTTTTTTTTTTATTGTGGCTTCTTCTTTTCCAAATCAGTACTTGCAGGTAATGGAGCTCAAAGAAGATTGCTCAGAATGGAGAGTTTTCCCAAGCAGCCACAAAAGCTTGTTCAGTTTTCTCATTTGCAGCACTGGACAGTCAGGATAAGTCCTAGGTCACAACAGTGGTTAGGATACAACTGTTGCTGCAGATGATGTGACATTGGTTGGATTTGTGCTGACATTTGTGTAACTTCCCTCGCTGTTTGTGTTTGACTCGTTAGTGGCCATTAGGCTTGAATTGGCTCGAAGGATCGCTCCTGCTGCACTGCAGTGTGGCCGTGGCCCTGGTTCCGGTGTGTATGTAAAGGTCAGGCTGGTAGAATAGATTATTCCATCATTACGAACCAAAGTTACTGGGACTTGGACCGGCTGCCGAACCCACCTCCAGCCTTCTCGGAATGCAGAAATGTCTGGGACAACGCAAAGCATGCTCTCTGCACATCTGCAGGAGGTAAAAGTAGTAAACATTTTAAAAAACTCCACAAAATTAACAAAAAGCAACCAAATACATCTGATGAAAATATCACTTTTTATTATCAAGAATAGGCCCAATAATGCAAAGGAATTAAGAATGATAAAGAGCTACTGTACCTGTACATAGTTTCAGCTTCCACATCGCCAAACCAGACACGTAAATTTGGAGTGAAATTCTGTCCTGTAAGTTCTAGCATTGCTACATCTCCACCACCATTCAACTGCAACACAATCAGAAGATCATTATGAAAAAGGAATATTCTGAATGTACAGACAGGAGTATTATACAGACATACCTAATACTTCAATACCCCAACCAACACTACAACGAATTAATAACAAACACTCAGACTGGATTTTATAAATGAAACAAGCTGTGCATGAAAACAAAGAGCTGAAGTAATTAAGTACTTGCTCACCTGAAGACTTTCTACAACAGGCACAGGTGTTACTGGAGCATGGACAGGTCCCATACCCTCATAGAATGTATATTCTGCCTTATCTGTACTAATGATTGTCCATGAAGCTCCATCATTTATCATCTCTTTATTTGGTTCTTTTGGGCATGGAGTGGCCTGATGAAAAAAATAAAAGGATGGTGAGCAGTTGAGTTGATATAATAAGAATTATCAAAGTCACATTGACAGAATAAACAGGATGCAGGGAAAAAAATAAACACAACTCTCTCTTTCTCCTCCATCCCCACCTCCTCCCCAATTTGGCTCTCCTTAGGCAGACAATGACTGTGGCACTGCCCACTGCAGTAGAGCCACCTGCCTCACAGCCAGTCAACGGATACTTTTCAAAGAATATCAATGAATGACACCTTAACTATTTAGTGAATGAAAGGATAATACTTTTAATATGGCTAAGATGGATATTTCTTTTCATGAGCAGCCACATGAGCATCCATGTTTGGCTGGCTAATTTTATTTCACAACAAAATGGAAAAGAATGGAGTTATTCTGGAACACCAAGGTTACGGACTAATATCATTATCAATATTACGATCAGCAAGAACAACAAATACCTTACTTTTATATAGCACTTCACGTCTCCAGAATGATTTAGCATATATCTCATTTGATCCTCACAATAATACGAAGTAGGCAGTATAGACACCACCCCCACTTTACAGATGAAGAAACTGAGACAGGGATTTTAAGTGACTTGCCCACGGTTATACTGTGATAGACCCAGACCTAGAATGCAAACTTTCTGAATCCTAGTCCATTATTATTTTCTGCACAACACCTTGTCAATGCAATTTCCTCAGTCCGGGAGGTAGGTGGTGTTAAAGGATGGACACACAGGCAACAAAGCAGACAGATCTATAAGAGCCTCTCAACTGATGAACAACCAATTTCCCATATTGAAAGGATTCAATATCCCCATGAGAGGTTCCAAGGAACTAATTTTACAATAGCTCTGGAAAAGACTTTTTTAAAATCAAGTGTGACCAGAGGGGAAAATCATTTGAATTCTACTTTATTGTCAGATACAAATGGATGAAGATTCTTAAAAGAAGCTTACCATTGTCTTATCTAATTTCTTATGGCAAGAACTCTATCACAGTTCAAAATTCTAATGACTGTCATGTTTTATATTTTTCCCATAAATAACTCACTTGAAATTGGATTATTCTCTCTTGGGAAAGGCACAAATACATTCTTTCTGTATCCTTAAGATAAAATGCACATTTATGAAGCTGTGACACTGGATCATCTGCATCTAGTAATGCGGTCTGTTTATCAACTTTTCGAATAATCTATTTCAACAAAGACAAAAGAAAACTCATACATACAGAGAAAAATTTACATTTTTTACTTCTATTAGTTAACAGTAAAGAAAGTATATACTGTATACACTGTAAATTTGGTTTATACCCACATCGCTGAAATAACCAAATAATGGTTATTAAGGGCAGAAAAACTGAAACACTTCTTCCTTTGATAGACATTAAGCAGTAGTACCTGTGACCTCCTCCCTAGAGATCTTATAAGCAGTAGTACCTGTCACCTCCTCCTCCCTAGAGATCTTATAAAGTATTAGTCAACTATTTCTTCCTCTAGATGATCTTTTGAGAACAACTCAATTGTTCCTCCTAATACATAATTATGACAGATACAGAATTTAATTAATAATATATTAAGTGCAATAATTATGAAACCTTAAACCATGCTATTTTTAAGAAAAAAAAACTAGTAAAGACAATGCCAATTTTTTTCATTAATTCACTAACTGGCAAAGAACAGTCAGTCTACACTTCAGCTTACCATAAAAGCAAATTATTAGAATACTATTTTTTTTGTCTGATTGTCATCTGTTAAAGTGAAAACAGATTAAAACATGTAGCAGGTGCTAAAAAAAAAATTTAACTTGTAATTTAAAAATAAAAGACACTTCATCCCAGGACCCTAATAACATTCAAAAGTGCTCTACACAACTGGAGGAGTCTTAAGATTTCCCCTCAGTTAGACTTTAATCAGTGGATATTCCCTAGTATTGCAAAATGCATTATTTGCATTTCCAAATTCTTAATCTAGCCATTTAGAGGTAAAATACTTGCCATTCTGGACAAGTATAATATGTGATGCTGCAGGATAAATAGTGGAGTGGGACGCTGCACTTTGACCAACTATAGCTTCCAGGGTGTTCTGCAACGCTAAGTCATCTCAGGCTGTTTAATTTAGTTTTCAAATCTTAATGATATAGAGAAATATAATAAGATCCGTATTTAAGAGGAGGTGGTAATACCTTTGAATCAAAGATAATTATGGCTGGCATTTATTCTAAATATTTCCTATGACCACTTACATCTCTGTCTTGTTTCATTAGCCAAATCCTAGCTATGCTCCAAATTCACTGAGACACTCAGGTAGGACAATTTCTAAATATTAAGGTCAAGGATAAAGAAAATATAGACAGTATTTGAAGATACGGGACTTATTTTTAAGCCATCCCACATGGGTATTCTAACCCATAAAAACTTCAACCATGTGTTTGGCTAGCCATATTCCAAGAGAGTATCAACATTACTCTGGAACTTTGGGAGACCCAGGAATATGAGGCCCTGTGAAGCCTGTGGTTTATTGGCCTGTAAGCTGGTTACATGTGTGCTATAAAAGCACTCCAAAAAAACAATGATTTCCAATTTGGGACCTATATTCCAAAAATATACTAAACCTCACCACTGGGAAGTGAGCTAACAACTCATATTTAAATACTTTCAGATACAAAGTTCTACAAAGCTAAAATGTTTAGTAAAAAGCACCGTGTTCCTATGTCTTTATATGCCAGATTACAGAGTAAAGGTAATATCCAAGGGTTCAGCAAACATTTACTAGAATCTTTAATTGATTAGGGCAAGTAGTCATGCATGTAATGTCTTACAGATGTCATTAATTCATCCTTTTGAGGATGGTTAATCATGGCACACTGACAGCATAATTACAATATACTGACAGCACTAAGATGGCAAAGGGTTCACTCTTTTCAATATATTCTCTAGGTTTACTTTTTTCCCATTGTTTAAATATTATAGCCAGTACAGATTTAGCTGTCAATAATAATAATACACTTAAAGATAATTTTCAAATGGGTCAGCCACAATTGTTATTTTAAACATGATATTTGAAGAACTGCATCAACTAGTAATTCAAACTATTAATGTTTCCTCCTCTTATTATTCCTGCCTGCTTATTTTAGGTCCTGCAAAATCTAATGTAGAATATAACTGTTCGAAATTCCAGATCTCATGTTTGCTAGCTATGTCCCTGTGGACAAGTCCTATAACCTTTTTGGACCTCAGTTTCTTTATTTGTAAAATGATGAGGTTATAGTAGATTATCTCTAAGATCTTTCTAATTCTCTCATCTCATGATTTACGGCGTCTCAGTCAAAACTACAAAAGAACCTTGCTGGAACAATGATTCAGATAAAGGAAAAATGAATAGGAAATTATCCAGGTAATTGCTGTATTGGTTTTTTTGTTAGTTTGTTTTTTTAATTTTACTATTAGCTCTAGTTTTGCAAAGTTTTATAAAATTATTTATGCTTTATGTTCATCAGACTATTGTAAAGAAATAGCAAATCAAAACACCTTGCAAAACCATGAGACATAGTAAAAGAAACAAACAAATAAAAAAACCAAACAGTGCTTACCTGACCTGTTTCAAGCTGGCTTCTTTTTCCAGCAGAGTTCTAGGGAAGTGATAAATTAGCATATTGTCTGCTGAGCTGCCTCAGAGAATGAGAACCAAAGGACTATTTCAGGGAACATAAAACTGTAGTTCAAAGAGAAAGCAAATGTTTTAATGTATAATTACTTTACGGATTTTTCATAATTTTAGAAAAAATTGTCACTTTTAAGTCACTTAAATAGTATATATAGCTATATGTAGTATGTATGTATATGTGTATATATATATAAAAAATATATATTTTCCCCTCAGACTTGAAAATACTTAGAAAGTACTTTTTTAACTTTGCCTGAGAAATTTAACTTTTAAAATTTAAAATTTTCCTTCCTAATGAACAGACAGCCTTACAAATTACTACTTGATTTCTCAACTTGAGTTATGATTTATCTAGGCCTACTAATAGTAATAATACCCACTTCAATATTTCAAGGACCTATGACTTTCTTCCACCATGATTACACATTGCAACCACCCATGCCTTAAGGAATAATACCAATGAGATAGATACTGAATCACTTGGTATCTAATTTGTTGGCCAACCAGCCTATCCAAATGAATCCTCATATGGCTGACAGATCATCTGCAGACAAGCCTTAAAGCCAAGTTTTTCTAGCCTATCCTGATAAGACTTGCCAGAATTTATGTTCCACTTTCTGGGCTTCAAGGACTCCATACCATGATGACACTGGAACAGCAAGGGGACAAAGAAGTCGAGGCAAAATGCTTTAATCTCAATAGATTTGATTTTTTTTTTTAAAAGGCAATTGGAGTTAAGTGACTTGCCCAGGGTCACACAGCTATTAAGTGTCAAGTGTTTGGTCTGAGACCGGATTTAAACTCAGGTCCTCCTGACTTCAGGGCCGTTGCCCTTCCACCGTGCTACATATCTGTCCCCCATCTCAATAGATATGAAAGTGAAGTTAACCTCATGTTCATTTATTCAACAAGCATTTATTAAGTGCAAGTAAAGTGTGAGGTGCTGGGGATAGATGCTACGACAAAAAGCTAAACAATTCTGCCCTTGGGAACTGTCAAAGAGTACTGGGTCTACCATAGTTTCCTCTGGAACTATCAGTGTTTTGTTTTGTTTTTGAACACAGGCAAAAGTCCCCTTAGTTGACTTTGTTGAATTGAGCATTGTTAGTAATAAAGAATGCTGAGTTAATTTTATTTTAAAACAATATATTTCCTGGGGGTGGCCCAGGAAAATCTGTTTTAAGATCTAACTAGAATTTCTGGATACCTGGAATACCAATACCAAAAGAAAATACCATATGCAGTGAATAGGCTCTAAATACAGAACAGAATGAAGCACTCACAGTTAACCTGGGGATTTATAAATGCAATTTATAGTGCCCTCTACTGAACAGATTTATTCACTCACAATAAAATAAAGCACACCAGAAAAATAGTTATCTATGCAAAAACACTATGCATCCATTACAAATGTCCATAAAAGTCAGTTCTATGATTACTTCACTACTATAGTCTTATCAAAGCATGTAACTAATATATATCCATGTGGCAACACAACTGTAATTTGGTCATTTGTTTGCTGCAAAAATTAGTTTATATATTACTAAAGTAAAAGTGGAACTCTACCAATCTCGGGAGTGCCATGCCTGTAACTGAACACACAAGTTTGACAGTCTGTCCATAATGGATATAGCCGTCTCTCACTGTGAATTCTTCTCCTTCTGATTCATCATCATCCACTGTAGAAAACAAACCAAATTCTCTCATGTTAGAATGCATCAAATGCTCATGAAGATTATACTCATTAGTGTTTGTTTTTTAATATTTTTAAAAAGGAATTACAATGTTCAAAATGAAAAATACTGAAAACATGTTTATACTCACAGAGATGAATATAAAATGCTCCCCACTGTTGTGAACTGGCATGGAAATTCCCTCCTTCTACATGTAAATATCTGGTGCTGACTGTTTGTGATCGAAGTCGATTAAATAATGCCACTTTTGTTCCTGAAGCTATGCATACTGTGAGTGAAAACATTTTTTATTATTTTGTCTTCTGAGCATCTATGTTTTATATTTAGGTCTTTTTAACAAGTAAATAACTGGTGCATAAATGTTCATAAAATGTCATTTTCCAGTTTTTATGGTTCACAAAATAGGTTTTATGAAAACCTATCAATCCCAAAATGATAAACATCAGTCATTTACAGAACAGGTAAACAAATATTATGTTAACATTAAAAAAGGAACCAGATGTAGCATAGTAACTCTCATCCTCTAAATTTCACTTAAAAATTGAAATCAATTCAACAATTGCTTGAGTTATATATATACAAGGCATTTTTTTTCCTCATTTAATGGAAAATAAGATTGTGCATGTGAGAATAGGCTCCCTTCTTTCTTCTTCAATGTTAATGTTATGCTTAATTACTCATAAACTAAATTATCAAACTCAATCATACTTACAGTCAGCATTTTTCAATGACTGCTTCTTTTTAGAAGGTTTAGAGATGACTTTGATCCGTTTACTGAGGAACACACCAATGTCGTCACTGTTGCCATAGAACATTTTTACAGATAACATGAAATGCTTTCGCTTGTCTGAATCAGATATATACAGTGTTTTGGCTGTGCAATAATTCTGTGGAAAGAAATATTTAATTGCACCAAAACCATAAAAATACACTATCAACAATTTAGAATGGCCATGGCTAGGCTGAGTATGGCTTTAAGATTTGTGATATTTCACTGGGTATCTTATAAACACTAGTATCAAAAAGAAAGTTAATCTTCAAAGTGAAATTATCTCCGAGAAAGTTGGCAAAAATTCTTCACTAGTAAGTCTTAACAAATACCGTATCAATTTTCCCTTTCAATTTTAATACTTAAAAAAGTTAGCCTTGCCTTGCTGTCAATACCACTAAATCTTTTTAAATGGCTTTAAAAATAATTATAGCAGTTCATTCAGAAGACATACATTTAAAATTGTAAAGTCCATGACTGTCTTTTTGTAAAAGAAAAAAGGGAAAAACAAGGGTATATGAATCTTTTTATAAAAAAGATTTTAACAGTGGTCTTTCTAAAAATACTATATAAAATGTTACTTCAATGTACATTTGCTTTATTTGTCTTTATAACTGAATATCAAATAATAAACCCAAAAGTTTGTGGGAAAGGACATTTCACTAATTGTACCACTAAATTACATAGTAAAAGGTTAAAAACAGAAGGAAATATATAGATTATATCCACTGAAAACAATGGATAGCTGTGGCTAATAGGAAAATAACCTTTGTTTAAATTAGACAGTAAGTGTCAAATGTTTTGCAAACCTTAAAGTACTTGCTATATAAAGGTTGGCTATTCTATCACCAGAGGAAGAGACATTTGATGAACTAGGACCACAATCAGACACTTACATGTTGATAAGCTGGACCGAAAAATCATCCAACTGTCTATCAAATTATTAGAAAGCTAGCAACTAAAAAGGAGCTACAAATGGGCACAACATCTAGCATTTTAAAAAAGGTTAAACAAAACTCCATATTTTTTACACACATTTTAATTGGTGTTATTTTAAGACCTCATTGAATTTTCATTTTTACAATTTTAGGTTTGCAACTTCTTTAGGAACTAATGAGAAACCCAAAGCATTCATTACCTCTGACTTTTAAATGGGGAAATAGAAACATAAAAGGGTTATGTGACAGAAGGAAATAGTTACATCTTCTTGATTTTTTCTTTGTAAAACCCTTGGAAAAAAGCTTTACGTAACAATGTCATATTTTTTTTAAAAAGCATATTTTAATTTGGTTTACTTCCATTTAATCACATATATTTTTAAACCTAAGATTGAGTTCATGTGATTTTGCCCAATTTCTGTTTGTTTTGTTTTGTTAACAGAATAATTTAGGAAGTTGGATGCTAAACCTCAAATTTTTTGTTTGTTTTAATTAACTTTGCTAACTAGATGTACTGCCTTAGTAGCAGAACAAAAATATTGCAGGTTTATCTTAAGATTTTTCAGTAACAGAGATATTTAAAAATGGAGGTTTGGTTGCCATCTTGAATTTCTTTTTATATTTGATGAGGTTTTTATAATTCAAAAGAGCCTTAAAAGCTTGGTGAGGATTTGCTCTGCAGACAGCAAATTTAAGATGAAGCTAATAGTAATAATAAAAACAAACAAACAAAAAAATAGTACTTTGCACTCACATAGCGCCTTTCATCCAAGGATCTCCAAGCGCTCAAAGATGGCATCTGTAAGCTGTTGTGGCAGGAGCCATGGGTCCGCCATACTTTTAAAGTGACAGCATAGTAGGTCAAATTAGCCTAAACTATGGAATTGTTCTGCAACATAAGACGAGGTCTATGAAAATGAAAATTAATGTACTAAAGTGTACATACACTAATGCAGGGAGCAAACACTAAGTGTCTCTAAATTAAGGCAGTTACAATCTAATAGGAATAGCTTAATTTGGAGTGGGAAGGATAGCTGTATACAATATAAAACAGGAAAGGAGAAAGTAGTGAAGTTTAGCATCATATATTAAGAATAAGTTAAGATGTCATGGTAAAACATTGGTTAGCAAACACAAAAGGGAAAGAAGTATAATGGATATCTGATCCTAAGAACCAGAGGCAAACAAGATATTTTATAATGTCTTTATAAAATTAAACCATCCAAAGATCACTCTCATGGAAGAATTGAAATTCAGTTGTTTCAATTCACGAAGACCTTAAGAAATTTTACTAGAACTACTACTTACTGGTAGAAAAGAGCTGGTTAAAAGACATAAGGAATTGGGATATAATGAATACAAACTTCCCAAATTGTCATACAGGAAAAAAGTTACTACGACCATAAAAATATGTTGTCTTTGTAAAAGATAGAAACTAAGTATAATTACTTTAGCACATAATGTTGCTAAATTAGCTGAAGGAGCTCTAAAACAAAAATACTGCAGGTGACAATTTCCCTAAAAGAAGAGTGTAAAAATACTTAGTTCATTTTCAAAAGGGGCATTATAAAACACTGAAGTAAAGAAAAAGTTGCCAAGGAAAATAGCAGGAGAAATAAGTAATCTGAATAAGATTACACATATACACATTCATTATTTCTGGGGAAAGTACTTAAGATAATACTAGCAAAATGGTATACAGAAAATAAAGTACAAAACAGATGAAAATAAGAACATTAATAATTTAAATATGAAATTCATGAATTAGCTTATTCTAAATTCATCTATAAGAAACAATTAGGGAAAAGAACTGTCACAACACATAAATATTAAGACTGATTAAGGAAAAAAAGTATTGCCCTTAATGATTACTAATACTAGGAAGAAACAAATAAAATGCCATTGCAAAGAACTCTGAGTAGTATCTAAATTCTTTCACTGTTGAACAATTTATTATTAGTATCTTGTTTGTTTCATCTTGTTTGATAGGGTTCAGATGCACACAGTCCTTAGACAAGCTACTATGCTGCTGTTAATCTTTTTATATTAAATACTTGAAGGAAGTGGCTGTGTCAAATATTATCCACATAAATAAATAAAGGAAATGGTGGTAATTCTAAAGAAGTACTAGGATTGAAGATTTTGCTACATAAAGATGAATTTAATGCTGACCAACCATTTATTTACATCATGAGGCATGACAAAAAGCACAATATCACTTTCTTTGGAAAACTGCTTTCTCTTCAAAGAGGTCTATAAAAAGTTCTATTTGAATTTCCTGTGAAGTGTAAGTTTTTGTAAACCTTGCATCCAGAGAATCACTTTCTAAGTACAACATTTTATTAGTACTAACACCACCAAAAGAATCTACATAATAATTCCTCAGAGCAGCCCTCTAAGAACTTTATTGATTTAAGTATTATTATCCACATTTTACAGAATAGGTAACTCAGGTTTAGCAAGGTCACACAGCTACTAAATACTCAAGTCAAAATTTAAAACTAGATCTTCTAAGCAGCGCTCTATCTTCCCACAGTATCTTACACTGAATACCTTTCAAAGCAAGTTAAAAACAGATACTGCAGTTTAAAAATATATTCCCTATAAATTTGTGATTAATTACATTTTTTAGTACACAAAGTGTAAGTATATGTTAAAAGTACGAATACGGATGAAGCAATAGTGAATATTATTTTCTCCAAATATGTTTTTTCCTGCCAGAATCAAATATTTGCTTTACTTTTATTTTTAATTCCAAATAAAACATGTTTCCTTTGTTAGTTAGAGTCTCTCTTCATTAACCTACTGTCACCTCATTTATCACCATTTATCCAAAGCTGTGAATATGGTTACCCATGTAACTGCTGAGCAACAAACTGCTTTATCAACATTTTCCAATACCATATCATCAGGTATTAAATACGCTGTTACAATGATTTTTATTCAGATAATGATTGTAAAGAAGTTATCTGGACAATTACTTCACAAATAACATATTTCTTGTGGATTAGAGGTAACTAGGAGTAAGTTGAAAACCTAGAACAAGACTAACTTTGGCATCCATCCCTCACTTCTCTACTACTGTGAAACACTGTTAGAGCTTTGGGAGGAAGTTTTATGGGACTGTACATGTACCAGTGATTAACTCAAACTTAAGTATGATGGAAGACAGCATAATAAGGACTCCCTTCCCCCCCAACCCCTTGGTAAAGCAACCACCAGAGAGCAGCTCTGGAAGGTAATGGTCACCAAAAGAAATAATGGGGCTACTAAATGTAAAGCCCTTGAGTGCGTGAGTAGCCAGAATCCCTGGGTCTCTGTCATTTGTTATCGACTGGCTATTTCAACTGTCTATCTCTAACGGTGGCTTTTAAGCCACTGTTCAAATATATCTTAAGCAGCTATAGGCAAATTAAATAGTGTAAGAAACTAATCTACTGGAAGAAACATATCAAAAAGTATTTATTTTGCTAAATTGGCAAAAACTTTTCAAAGTTAATTAAAATTATGTTTCTCTACACACACAAAAAAAGGGGGGAGTGTGCACAGTGCCAACAGAATTCATTGTAGTGGGATTAAACTTGGACTTGAATTTTAAAATATATAGTCAAAGTCAGGTAGATACACATTCTAAGAAACATTAAGGAGAGAAAACCAAAAAAGTGATAGCAACTTGTGTTCAGTTTTCATTGTGAGTCCTTTAAGGTTTTTTAGTGGTTTTTTTCCTTTAACATCTATCTGATATCTTTAAGTTGCATTTGGTTGCATACAAATAATGTTATTTAAAATGTCCTATTTTAAAAGATAAATATTCTGGAAATGTTTTACATGATTGTACATGTATAACCTATATCTGACTGCTTACCATTTGGTGGGGGAAAGGAAGGAGGGATAGAATTTGGAACTCAAAACTTTAAATAAAAATGTTAATAAAAAGATATATTCAAGCAATTCACACAGTAGTTAAAAAATGAAAAGCAAAAGCTTAAGTAGGCTATACAACTAAAATTTACATGACATTTAAAGCCAAATGGGAGAAATTAACACTCGAATAGCTAATAAAAATGAGTAACAAAGAAAACTATTTAAGATTGTTAAAGGTAGAGAAAAGAGTTAGAGTTATTTCCTGAATATAAAAGGAAAAAGAATTAATTTAGACATTAACATAATGTGTTTGACAGTAAGGTCAACTAGCTAATGGAATAATTTGCTAAGGGAAGAAATTTAATAATTACCACAAAATAATTTTGAAATAAAGCTTTTTGCAACAAGTTTATGAATAAAGCTTCTCTTCTCCTATACCTAGCACTGTTTTGTTCCATGTATAAAGCAAACTACATCATTTTTTTCTAATATGTTTACCTTAGAAACAAATGAATTGTTCAGAGAATTTACCCAGGGTTTTTTTTCCTGCCACTGCAAAGAGATTAGCATACTGTTTTCCATAAATTCTAATGATTATGCCTCAAAAAAGCAGATGGAAAATTAACAATTAAATATTCTACAACTGTTAAGTTGTGACTCTTTAATTTGCCAGTGGCATTAATTAGAAATCTCAGACTCCTTGACCCAGTGAATTCTATCAGAAAGCTGAGAATGTCACCGTAAGTCAACATAGGTACCAACACTTGGCCTGTTGTAAACTAGTTGCTTAAGGTGTATCTTTCAAATCCCAATGATGGGGTTGGGAACTGTGCCCCAGAAAGAAAAACCCTGGATTTTCCCACACCGCCAAACTTCTGGCATTCCCCTAAGGCTAAAATCCCATCAACTGGCCTTTCATTACGGACCTCCATTCTCCCTTGGTCACGGGGTCCAGGTCCCTGGAATTCTATTACCTCATAGACTTGGCCATTCCTAGATCCCTCCCATAGTCTTTCTGTATATAAGGTCCATCTTGTCTCCATTAAGATTCCTAGATTCTTAAAATCCAGCCACTGCTGAGATTCTTATAATCTAGCCACTGCTTACCCCACAGACTCCTTAAGAGTCTGCGCAATATGATGGATATTCTAATAAACCTTGTCTTTGGCTGAAAGAAGGCTTGGGTCGAATTCTTTCAGGCAGGACCCACGTGTTGTGATTTTGGGGTCCCAGCACCCCTGAACCCCCAAACCACATCACTAACTTAAAATTTTTATTAATTTCTCTAGGATGGAAAGAACTGATACCTACAAAAATTACTCCCCCTTATATGAAAATATGTACAGGTCTTACTATACCTTGCCTTCCAAGTTCAACTGCTGCATTTCTTGGTCACTGTTTCCTATTCCAATAAATGCACATGGCTGAGATTCTTGCTCAGAAGAACCATCACGTTCCATTTGCTCTTTTTTTTTCTTCCATCCACTGCCCATAAGATATACACAAGGAGGAGGACAAAAAAACCTGAAGATAAGAAAGCAAAAATGAGCTACATGAAAACATTTAAATTTAAAAGTCAGTCTCATTAAAATATACTGGGGGGAATACTTACTCAAATTTATATGCTTTCATATATTCTCTTGGGTTTGTTAAAAGTAAAGTACACATGTATATTAAAGTTAGGCAACATTTCAAACAGACTATAGATTTTTTTAGGACAAGAATTTCATTACACACACACACAAATATAGTATACTGGTAAAGCTAAGAAAATATCATTAGCTTTACTTACTGGAATCTAACACACAAGTTGATGTATCATTTTAGTCCTGATCTAAGAGGGCTTTGTTGCAATAAGGATTTTATTACAACAGATCACATATTCTTCTATGGTATATATCCAAAATACAGCATTATAAAAAGACTCTATTATACATATATTTTTGAGGGTTATAGATAAGCTTTCACTACATGCCACTACAAGATCCCATCAGTGTGGAGGTGACCCTGGGTCTTTGAGAGTTATGCTTGAAGAAAAGCTTAATTAACAATGGAACACACCGAGGCAGCTAGGTGGCGCAGTGGATAAAGCAACAGGCCCGAAATCAGAAGGACCTGAGTTCAAATGTGAACTCAGACCAAACACTTGACTTACTAGCTGTGTGTTACCCTGGGTAAATCACTTAACCCCAACTGCCTAAAAAAAAAAATGAACACATGAAAGGAAAGTGGGATAAGGATGGGAGTTGGCATGTATGAAGGCAGGGCAAAGCCAAATTCACAATATATGATGCTGGGAAGGACAAAATTTTTGTTCAGAAGTGTGTGTACAGTGCTGCATGGTGGAAAAAGGAGGCAAACATAAGACTAGACCTCATCTGAGTAGTTTTTTCTAGAAGAAAGACTGATCAAGTTCCAGAATTCTCTGGCACAGATGCCAATTAAAAGAAAAGGGAGAACATCTGGGCAGGTATGCTCTTATAAAATACTTTGAATGTAGTCCTGAAACAAAAATTATCTTTGCTAGAATTAAGAAAGAAGAAAGGGCAGACTTGACAGAAGCTCAAAAAAGTTTCCAATGAGTAATAGTTGCCTTTCTTATTTATTACAAAAAGTGAGATTTTTTCTTTAAAAAAAAAAAATCAATCAACAATTATTTATAATGTGTTTTACTATGTGCCAAAATTTTATTTATTTGATTTATTGCAAAAAGAAGTGAGATTTTTTTCTTTTAAAAAAAAATCAGTCAGGGGGGCAGCTAGGTGGCACAGTGTATAGAGCTCCAGCCTTGGAGTTAGGAGGACCTGAGTTCAAATCTTGGCTCAGACACTTGACACTTACTAGCTGTGTGATCCGGCAAGTCACTTAACCCCAACTGCTTCACCAAAAAAGAAAAAAAATCAGTCAACAATTATGCATAACATGCTTACTATATGTCAAATACCTTTTAAAATGTACCATAACTGACTATTAAAATTGGTTTCATCAGAAAACTCTGATCATGAATGGCTGAATGTTTTAACAATTTTGTTTAACATCCTAATAAAGGAATTCTGTATATTAGGTAGGCTTATGTTTAAAGGAATATGGTTATTTCCAGTGTTTTGGCCATAACTACACTGTTACCACACTTTTCTTTTGATTTTAAAAGATTTCATTAGATTTGGTACCTGATTAAGTTGGTCAACTTAATGCCTTTCCAACAAAGGCAGCTGTCTTCACTTCTCAATAGCTTTGAAGATTTTTCAGATTTATACTATGATTATGAATTTATTAAACAGTAGGAGACACCTACTTAATAATCTCATGATTTTAATCTCTGGTGTGTTTTTGGGGAAAAAATCCTTCACATGCAATATTCGATTTGTAAAACGATTTGCTTCAGCCCATCCAAAGATGACCAAAGCTGATTCATTAAATTAAAACAAATGTAGATATTTACAGCTTAAATTTGCTAATTTTCCGCACAGCAAATAGCCTAATCACAATTTCAATTAAAATACTGTTTTTAAATTATTGCAAGGCATTTTATCATGGTTTATTATATGACAACTCCAAGTAAAGAATATCAAACTATATGTTTATAGTTTGTGTTCTTTGAAAGTCAAGCTTAAATATTTGGGGCTATTACGGTACAAAGATGATTTAGCTATAGACATATCTTCTGTTGAGTTGCTCAATATCCAGTTTAAGCAAAGCCATACATGAGAACTGCTATTAAAAAACCATTAAAGTTTGTAGATGTAGTATATAGTATTTGAATAACAGTACTCATTTGATATAATAACTGATGTAATAATAGTAATTCATTTGATGATTTAAGATGTAAAATGTATAGTCAGCAGAAATTTGTAATAATGTAATTATACTCTTTGACCCAGTGATACCACTAATATACTTATTGACAGATTTTTTAAAAGGAAGGAAAAGGACTCACGTACAAAAACATTTACAACAGCTCTTTTTGTAGCAGCAAAGAACTGGAAACTATGGGGGTGCCCATCAATTAGGGAATGACTAAATAAATTATGCTAAATGAATGTAATGAAATACAGATGGTTTCAGAGAAACCTGGAAACATGAATTGATACAAGGTGAACTGAGCAGACCAAAAACAATTTGTATAAAAAACAATTTATACAATAACAACAATATTATTATTAAACAAACGAATAAACAATTGTAACAGCCTTAAGAATGCTAATCAACACAATAATCAATCATGATACCAGAGGACCAATGATGAAGAATGCTACCCATTTCTTGAGAGAGATGATGGACTTAGGGTGTTAAGAATGAGACACACATTTCTGGATATGGACATTGGAGAAATTTGTTTTGTTCAACTATGCATATTTGTTACGGGCAGCTAGGTGCTGTGCAGTAGACAGAGTACTGGCTCTGGAGTCAGGAGGACCTGAGTTCAAATCTGGCCTCAGACACTTGACACTTAATAGTTGTGTGACCCTGGACAAGTAACTTAACCCTGACTGCCTCACTAAAAAAAAAAGAAAAGAAAAGAAAAGAAAAAAGCATATTTGTTATAAGAAGTATGAGAAAGAAAAAAATGCTTGCTTGTTAACTAAAAAAAACTGATTAATGGACAGACATTGTTTATAGTCTGGGCACTAAATGATGGCAACCCATGAAATAAAGAAAAATTTTAAATTCCCCTCAGATTTGTCTATTGCCCTGTTTCTACAGTAACAGTGTCAGAGTAGCAGAAAAGGTGTTAAGAATCATAGTTTTTACATTAACTATAAAGATTATCATTAGGAGAACTGAAACATATTAAAAAATTGATATTCATGAGATAAAGGAAACAAGATGACAATACTTGTCTCATTTTGCACTGCTCATAAGGAGCATGAGCAAAAAGATTAGCAGAAGGTAACTGTCATATAACAACTGTTCCAGAGGATGAAGAGGTAAAGAAATTATAAGAATTTCACAACAGCCTCCAAAACCAGTAGCAAAGGCAGACAGGACAGAGCATGGTGAAAAATATTAAGAAATATGGCTCGGATTTAAAATACCCTAGAGGTCAAAGATTTGCAGACTATTCAAAAGTCTCATGCTTATAGATAATGAACACTTCATAGAAGCATGAATTTTGAGAGTTGGAAGTTAACTTAAGAGCCATCTAGTTTGACTCATTCTTAAGATTCCCTCCTATAAACATACTGATAAATGGTTGTCTAAAATCTGTCTGAAGACCTCCAAAGACAGGAAGCCCATGACTTCTGGGGAAAGGACATTCTATTTTTAGACAACTCTATTGTAAAGTACTCTCTCCACCCCAAGTTTAAATCTGCCTCTTTTCAACTCCTACCACTTGTTCCAAGTTCTGCCTTTTAGAGTCAAAAAGAAAAAAAACCTAGCCTAGAAGAGGCAAAAGGCTTCGGTTATGGAGAGTAAGTACTAATGTCATCAAAATACTTACACTGACTCTATCTTAACAGACAGGAAGTGACCAATTATTGTTGTGGGAACCATGTCAGAATTGGCTATATAGAAGCAATTACACAATAGAATAGTTAAAATGCAACAGTATTGGTTTAAAAAAAAAAACCCACTTAGCACAGTACCTGTCATAAAGTAGGCAATTAACAAATACTTGTTCCCTCCCTACTTGCTCCAAGGTAAAAATCAATATCAAATTTGAAAAAAAAAAAATAATAATCTTTAGATGAAAAGCAAATTTGGTAAACATTTACACTATTCTGACTCACTGATAATGAAAGAGGGAAAAGGAAAAAAAAAGATATTAACCTGGATTATCACCATTTTCTAATAAAGTTCAACTGCAAAAAGACTGGGTCAAAAAAGTGGGAACTTGTCTTAACCAGCAAATACTTGATCCCTTTGCCAGGTGCAGAGAAAGAGAGCAGACAAGGCTTGGAACAGCTTAGAATGCAAACTCATTTGTAAAACACTGTGAATGAAGATAGCACAAAGTTATAGACAGTGCAATCATTTAGAATATCTAAAAGCAATGGAAATGAAAATAGGTTTAGAGAAAGCTTGATGATAAGCTACATCATCTGAAGAACCTAGTGGATAACTTGAGGGGAAATGACAATAAATATGTGTAAAGATTTGTGTCTATAATGAGCAGAAAGAGAAGAACTACCACATTTGGATGCTGAGAGTTCAGTGCCTAACAGGATTATCTGGAAGGTAAAAGTGACATTTAAGAAGATAAAGTTTGAAAAGCAGGTTGGAACACATCAAGTACACAGAGGAATTCCATGAAAGAAGGGACAGTCATAAAAGCACTGAAAGACTTCTTTAAAAGATATCTCGGGAAATTGCACATAACAAACAACAGGGGGGTGGAAGGGTGTGACAGTCATGGATCCTACCAATACTCCAACAAATGTGACTAAGATAACATCAATAACTACCAACACATGATTCCTATGGCATAAAATCCTTATAAGATTGATCATTATGCATATAAAGGGTATAGTCCATAAAAATATGGGAAGTGAATAGGCTTTCACAAATGATTCTTCACAATG